GGAAGATTATAGCTAAATTAACAAAAAAACTATATAGATAAATCTTCCATTTATTTATTTAATTTTAATTTGATAATTATTTTATTCATTTTATGTAAAACTATTAGAAATCATTTAATGTTGTTCAATTAATTAAGATTAAAATTATGAATAGTTCATCTTCTATAATTATTATATTCTATAAATTTCTTCATATTAAATACTGTAAACTTAAGATAATTTTAAATAATATTAACTTGAACTTTAATTTTAAGTTTGTAATTTTAAATTTAAATGGATATTATCTTTTATGATATCAGCGATTCCTTAATTAAAAATTTCAATATATATCAAATTCAATATTTAATCATTAGAAATAGTATCTTCTTATTACTTTATTTAGAAATCGTTTCTATAAAAAACTTTATTTGCTATTAATTTATCTAATAATCCTAATTTTTATATACTTTTATTTATAAATATTTTTTGCTATTTATTTTTTAAAAAAATAAAAACTTTGGATTATAGTTCATCATATATATCAAATACATTGTAGGAGCTAAATGTAATTCCAGAGTTTTGACAATCATATTTTGAGGAGGATAAAATTTAAATTATGGAAATCCAATTTAAGCAGTAAAAGCTATAATTTCTTTATATTTTATTAAAATATTTTATAATTTTTTTTTTTATAAAATAACTTTTCTCTTTTAACATCCAATCCATAGAATTACCATTGACAACATGATTTGCTAATTATGCCACATTTCCATTGATTAAATTTTATGAAAAATTAGATTAAATAAAAAATTCTTAATAAATTACGTATTATTTTTCCATTTATTTCAATAAAATATTTTGATTATCATGTAAATGACTAAATGGAATTATCCAAACATTTCCGTATGAATGCAAATTCAGTGCAACTTTAATATTATTTCTTTAATCAAGAAATTTTTATATATTTTAGGTTTCCTTTGCTGAAAAAGGTTATTTGCCTCTATAAGTTAAATTACATTCATCTATAGAACTTCCCATATCATTAAATCCAAATGCTGTCGGGTAGTTTCTATTTAGATCTATTCCTTATAAGTAATCCTATTAGCATTACTTTTCAATTTTTCTATTTTTCTGATATAATTTTTTTATCATAGTCACCAAAATTTTATTTTAAGTATTCATATCCATCAACATTAATAGCTGGAACAAACCAAATAACATTATTTTATAAAAAATCAATTGTTTTTTAATCCCCTTAAAAGTATTAATAAAGTATTTGTGCATATACATAAATTTGCATTGAAAGCGACATAACATCTCTAGCATGATGCAAACTATTTATAAATACTCCTTATTAGTTATTTAAGTCTTTTTTTAATCTAATACTTATATTATATAATTAATTATATTTAAAAATTTTAACTATTTTTATTTTTACAAGTTAAACATGTTGAAAACATAGTACGGTTTTCCTCTGTACTGCCTATACTTTCTAAAGGACATGCTAACTATTAAAATTAACTTTAGACACTTCTATATAAATTAAGTACAGTATCATAATCAAAGTACCCATGCTTTTTATATTTATAATAAATTTAACACATTTTTTTTTGTAACCATAGGACCCTCAGGGAACATATTTGAAATTACGCTCCATTCTGTATTCTTATTTTATACAAGTTATATAAAATGTTAAATATTAAATGCACTTATAAATTAGAAAATAATTAAGAAATTAAAAATAAAAATTAAAGTCATTAATTCTATTAAATATATATTTTTGATTTTATAAATTAAAATATTAATTATTTTTTATTATATAAATTATATTATATTATATTATATTATATTATATTATATTATATTATATAATATTATATTTATTTTAATATTAAGATAGTATATATATTATTATTAATTTTCTTTAATATCTTTTATTTATATTATTTATTATTTTTTTTTTATTTACTTCTAGTTATTTCGCTATATATTTTTTTTTGCAGATTTCTAATAATGTTTGATAAGCATTTTTATTTTCTTTCTTTATAATTTTATTCTTTATTGGTTTTTTAGAAATAAATACATAAACAGAGTATTAATTTTCAAATAATAAACAAATTTTTCTCATTTTATAAATAGAAAAATATTGATAATCATAATTTAATTAACTAAAGAAATCTTTTTTATTCTAATATAGAAAAATATTGATAATCATGATTTTATTAATAAATAAAATTTATATAATATTTTATTATACACTATGTTTATAATTCGAAATCTTGACCAGTTATATATTTTTTTTAATTATATCTGCTCCCTTAAGTATTATATTGTTTAATATTTTAAGAAATTAATATATATTTACTTATTAAATATATAAGGAATTTTTATATTTGCTAAATAATATATTAATTATTAGATTGAAAAATAAATTTATGTCATATTGCAAATTATTAATAATTTCATTATTAGATAATTAATCTATTCGATTTTTATTTTTCAAAAAAAAAAATTAATACGTATTATTTTTAAAAAAATAATAATATTAATTTATTAAAAATAAGATATATAAATAATATATTTTTTTTTCTCATAAATTATATCTTGTAAGTACAAATTTAAAATTAAAATCGCAAAAAAAAAGCTAAAATCTGCAAATATAAAATAAAATTCATATTGAAATTGATTATTCATCATGATATATTTAAGAAACCCCAACATAAATCTTTAATATAATTATTAAAATAATAAAAATATATTTATAATGTTTTCTATTTAAATTCCAAAAAATCAAATAAAAATCCAGTATTAAAAATACTCACTTATGATAAATTAATTTTATGATATTACTAATATATAAATAAATACTAAGATACAAAATTATAATTTAAAAATTTCTGAAGAAATAAAATAATTAATTGTTAATAATAAATATAAAGATTATATAACAAATTGTATTATAATGAATAAAGAAGACTCTTAAGGACTAACATTTTAAAAATTAAAATAATTTGATGTAAATAATATATGTAAATTAACTTCAAAAAAATTGATATTTTAAGGCAAAAATAATTATTTATATTGATAAATAAAAAAGATATTTTTTAATTAAGGAAATTATTCCTGTATAAATTAATTATTAAAAACTAATTATATTGATAAATGTGGAATATGTTATAAATAATTATTATACTTGGATTTCGAAAAGGTTAGTAAATTATGATGATAAATGAAAATTCTAATTATTTCACTATTATTGGATTTAGGACAAGTGAAAGTAAAACTGGATACATGCTGATCAGCTTGTAAAATTATATTTACGGAGTTTATTTCAGAAATATTAAAACGAAGAAATTAAAATATCAAACATTATAAAGTTAAAAACTATTTTGTGCATGTAATTAAATGCGTTTGAATGGCATATTTATAAACGTTTTTATTGGATTTTACAAAAATATGAATTGTTAAGATTTTTAATTATATAAAAAATTTAAAATATTATTATTAATTATATAAATAAATATATTAAAATTAAACAATATTAAAATAAATATTTAAATTTAAAAAAATAATATGTAAAGAAAAAGTAATAAATTTTTAACATACGAAAATCAAAGAAAAACTTAGTACAGAATAACAATATAATATGTTTATATGTTTTATATGGTAATAGATAAATTAAATAATTTAATAGCTTATTTGATTTAATTTAACAAAAGAAATGATTTTGTCTAAATATTTATAAAAAATTTTTTAATAATAGATTCCATCTTGTAGTAGATATTTACAGTATTTATATTGTTTTTATTTTTAGTTTGGATATAAATTTATGATACATATCCATTTTTATTATAAGAATAATTAAATATTAATAATATTTATGTGCATAATAATTTCAATTATCGAAGAAACTTCGATTTATTATTTGAGTAGAAATAATATTAATAAAATATAAAAAACATCTCAAATTAATAATTTAATTAGTTAAAATTATTTCGATATTTTTTATTGTTTTTTTTCTTTATTCAGCTTGTCAATTACAATAGAAATAAATTATTTCCAAGTTTTAACATATTTCATTAATTTATCATTTAATGCTTATGTTAAAACCTAATAGTTTTATTCCTTTGTATTCCTGCTATCTGTTGTTAGGAATAATTTTAATTTGGGATAAACTTTTAAGTTTGTATTAATCATAATTAACACATTTATGTCCTTATTTGCATTAATAAGAATACTTAAAGTTTGTTAAAATATTTTGCTAATAAATTTATTCTTATACCCAACGAAAGATTAATTATTGTTTCTTATTAAATATAACTAATATCAATTTAAAAATAAATAAATTTAAGATTTTATCTTTAAATTAAAAATTAAATAACATTTCTTAAATATTTATTTCCTTACTTATATTTTTCTAATAAAAATTTTATCTTTAATAACTTCTTTTTTAGTTTTATTTTGATTAATATTATATTCTTTTTATATCTATGCATTTTTTTTTTTTGATTTATAATTAATTTATTTACTTTTTTTTTTTTTATGCAAATTTTAAATGTTTTTAAAAGTATAATGTTTGTTGATAGTAATAATCTTTCAATATATTTTATCTACAACAGCATTCTTAAATTCGAATACTATAGAGCATAAATATTATTAATTACTCCATTTATATACAGTAATTAATATTATATATTAATAACCACTATTCCTATTCTAGGTTCCTAAAATTTATTATTTATATTTATGCCTTTCTTGATAAAAATTTACACCATAATATATATAATTTACCTTTAAAAAACTTAATTTTAATAAAAATATAATAAATTAAATTTTTTTGAATTCTATTATTTAATTTAATTTTACAATAAAAAAAGTTAATGTTTTTTAATATAAACTGTAATTTATTTAATAATTAAAAATTATTTTATATTATTAATAAAAATTTTTTAAAAATAAATAAAACATTAATTTTGAGTAAAATAAATACAAAAAATTTTATTAAAATAATAATAATAAACAAAAATTATATTATATATTAATAATAAATATTTAATATTAAAAAATTAAATTATAATTTATATATTAAAATTTTATTAAATTAATTATTATAATTATGAATAAGAAAAACATAAGTATAAGTATCAAAAAAATTAATTTATATTTAATTATTTAATTTTTATAAAACAATAATAATAATTTATATTATATTATATATTTTAATTTGAAGTTTATATTTTATTTTTTATTTTTTATATATTTTATTTTATTTTTTTATTTATAATTAT